TTTTTTTTTTGATTTTTTATATAAAATATGCCGGAACCATTAGTTCCGGCGTTTTTTTTTGATTTTTTATATAAAATATGCCGGAACCATTAGTTCCGGCGTTTTTTTTTGATTTTTTATATAAAATATGCCGGAACCATTAGTTCCGGCGTTTTTTTTTTGATTTTTTATATAAAATATGCCGGAACTATTAGTTCCGGCGTTTTTTTTTTGATTTTTTTTATATAAAATATGCCGGAACCATTAGTTCCGGCGTTTTTTTTAAATTTTTTTTTTATAAAATGTGCCGGAACTATTAGTTCCGACATTTTTTTTTAAATTTTTTTAATAAAATGTGCCGGAACTATTAGTTCTGGCATTTTTTTTTAATTTTTTTAATTTTTTTATATAAAATATGCCGGAACTATTAGTTCCGGCATTTTTTTTAATTTTTTTTAATTTTTTTATATAAAATATGCCGGAACTATTAGTTCCGGCATTTTTTTAATTTTTTATATATAATATGCCGGAACTATTAGTTCTGGCATTTTCTTTTTATTTTTTTTATATAAAATATGCCGGAACTAATAGTTCCGGCGTTTTCTTTTTATTTTTCCTATATAAATATGCCAGAACTAATTGTTCCAGCATTTTCTTTTTGTTTTTTCTATATAAATATGCCGGAACTAATAGTTCCAGCGTTTTCTTTTTGTTTTTATAAATTTAATAACCATATCGGCCGGTTAATTTAACGGTGTTGATAAACCGTAATATAATCCGGCCGATCCAATTTTTTTTAAAAAAAATAAATCATTTTTTTTTAATATTATATTAACGAAAAAATGATTTTTTTTTAAATATTTTTATTAATAACGAACTTATTTTTTAGACTAGTAAGTTTAAAAAAATAGTTAGTTATAAAAAAAAATATTTTTTTCCGCAATTTTTCCGCAATTCCGCAATTTTCCGCAATTCCGCAATTAATTACGGAATTGCGGATTATTTGCGGAATTGCAGAAAAATTGCGGAATTGCGGATAATTACTGATTGCGGAATTGCGGATATGTAGACTTCAAAATCCGCAATGTTCCGCAATGTCGCAAATCGCAATTATTCCGCAATTGCCTATTTGCGGCACCATCTTTATTTGAGGCTGTATGAGGATCTTATTTATTTCTAATAGAGGTTTTCAGAAAAATTTTAAATTTACTAGTAATTTTATCAGCGATCTTATTGGTTAATTAATCTAAAAAGGAAAAAAATCATAACAACTTAGTATAACATTCATATAGGCTGATTTGTTTACTTTGCATTAAAAAGAGTAATTGATTGATTTTCACAATTTTTGTTACTCAAAATTGTTTTGTAATACCTCTGATTGATGATCACTTGACTAAATAATAAGTTGAACAAAAATTTACATTTGCAAAACTTAAATTATTAAATGTAAAAGAGCTGTAAAAAAATCCATTTCACTAATAAAAACACCATTTCTCATATATATAGAATTTTTAATATATATTATTAAAAAGTAAGTATATTTTAATAAAATATAAAGTAAAATAAAAATTTATATAGCCTTAGTAGCTATAAATGTTTATAAAAGTATAATAAAAATATCATATAAAAGATGGTATCATAATAGATATTTTCAAACAATAAAAATAATTATTTTATGTTAGAGTTTGTATTACCATCTTTAAATGCAAATATATCAAAATTCACTGATCAGTTTTCTATAATTTTAGGCTCATTGGAAAGCCCTTGTTCTGGATTTTATAGGCGAAAATAGGGCTCTGATCGGTTTCGGTAATAACTAAACTGAACTGAACGGTTTCAGTTTCAGAGCGGTTTCGGTTTTCTAATTTACTGAACTGAATCCTTTGGTAAATTTACCGATCGATTTCGGTAATTGCGGTTTCAGTATCGGTTTTGCGATTTACCGAACTGAATTACCGAATTATCCGAATAAAGTTAGTACGGTAATTCAGTAATACAAATTGATTTTATCATTTAAATAATCTTTTTTTTTCAGACACTTCTAACACTTTTCTTATATTTTCTCTTCTATCTAATATAATTTTCCCTTCATTAATAATTTTTTAATATTTCAATTTAATATAATAATGGCGGATTCAGAAACTGACCAGGAAGAAATGGAGGAAGAAATAGACGAAGAAAATAATGGAGACGAGTCTGAAGTCAGTGAAGTGAAAGAAGACGAAGAAAATGATACTAGGCTGTCTAGTCGTAATACTAATAAGCGAAGTTGGGTTTGAGGACATTTCAAATACGAAGACTCATTAAAAAAAAGCCAAATGCGATTATTGTAAAAGTTTAATCTGTTGTAATAAAGGCAGCACTAACAAAATTTTTTTTTTAATTGTATCTTTCTTCTATTTTTTCTATTTTGTAGGTTTCTTTCAGTTCTTGGGCGTTGGATATATAGGTGGGTTTCGAAGTGAAACTTCAAAACTTTTTTTTAAAAAAATATTTTAATTTTTTTTCTTCTATTTGTAGGTTTGGCCTTCAGTTCTTGGGTGTTGAATATACGGGTGAGTTACTACTGGACTGTCAAACCATTTTAAGAGTAAATATAATATAACAAAAAATCAAGAAAAAAACAAACTCACAATACATGAAGTTATTAACAATTCTGAGGCAATTGTAAGTGATCATTTGTGGTATTAATTATCAAATATGAATATTTTTTAATTTTTCATATATTTTTATTCAATTAGGTGTACAGTAAAGAAACTTTTAGAAAATTCCTTATTGAATGGATCGTAAAAAATGATCTTCCTTTCATGTGTGTAGAATCTGAAGATTTTAGGAGTATGATTCATCTTTTGCGCAAGGATGCATTTATACCCTCTGCAGATACAATCAAAAATGATATAATATCAATTTTTGATGAAAGTAAAAAAAAAATTAATTCTATTTTACAGGTATTATAATTGTATTTTGTTAATAATATTTTTATTTAAATTCTACTAATTAATTCAATTTTTGTAGAATATATCTAAAAAAATATCCTTTACGATAGATGGCTGGACATCTTCAAACAATGTATCTTTTCTAGGCATAACAGCCCATTTGATCACGAATGAATGGGAACTAAAGAGTTTCCTTCTAGATTTTATAAAACTCGATGGTCCTCACTCGGGTGCTAATATAAAG